TCCATCCATCCATCCATCCATCCATCCATCCATCCATCCATCCATCCATCCATCCATCCATCCATCCATCCATCCTCATGCCTCGGGAAACACCAGACTGTTGCGCCCCATGTCGTCCTGTCAAGAACGAAAAAATCAGACCTGATGATTGGACTGGTATTTTCAAAATAAAAGCCCGGATAAGAATTCAAACTTGAACGCGAATCCAAATTTTTCTGGAAAAACGAGCCTGATGTCCTAATTAAAATCACAGCTTAGTGTTTTATTTCAACCACAGCAAACTGTCGATTTAAACTTCATTTTAGACCACATATGTGTTGCATTTTTAATTTATTGCACTTTAAGTCTTGTTTTTGTGTGTGTGTGTATGTGCCTCAAGCTGCAGCAGAATTCGTTCAAGCCAAAACTCCAAGTTCACGTGTTGATTTTGAAGCGTAAACCGGAAGTCTCGTGCGGCGCACTCTTTCCACCAACTCTGAGCGCAGCTGACTCTCCTCCGCACCAAAAACAAACAGACCCTCACGCGCAGCTCTGAACGCGCGCGCGAGGACTCCCAAGTTTTCTCTCCTCCAGAACCAAACGTAGCATGAGTCGCAGGCAGGAGGACCATGAGGATATAACTTGACGCACTGTGGACTTTTATTTTATTTTTTTAAACTATGCCTTTTTGTAAGCGGACGATACTTCCCAAAGATGTGTGCAAGCCGGACGGCAGGAGGAGGCTGGCGCTGCTCGGGGAGCTGGCCGACGTGTGCGGCTCCTCGCTGGGCTCCGTGCTGCGGCAGCTCTCGGATCTGTCCCGGCACTCGGTGAGCATCCTGGAGGAGCTGGAGGGGGAGCTGGTGTCCGTGTGCCTGCGCTCCGGAGCGCTGGAGGCCAGAGTGGTCCGGCTCCAGAGGCACGTCGCGGCGTTGATCAGCAAACCTCCACCGAGAGGTAAGTCCACAACCTGTCCTCTGGAAGATAAATCAATTAATTAATGAATAACGCTTGGAGTCAGTTTGTAAAGCTTCAGGAGGGGAGTTGAAGTTGCTTTGGTCGTTTGACTGAGATGTGCAGCAGGTTCAAATGTGTCCTTTTACTTTTATTAAAAGTGTCATTGTTAAGGTCATGTTCTTGCCAGAGCAGCCCGGTGTCCTGTTTACTTGCTGCTTTGAAAAGTACGTAAAAAGTGATTAAAATGTTACAAGAAACTGGGCTTTAGCTGATAAAACGTGACGTAGAAGGGGTGGGAGCTCTTAATGAAGTGGTGTGTAAAGATGTCATGCAGCTCCATGGGACTGCGCCAACTTTTTCTGCCTTCTTCATAAGTTTGGCTCCAGGAAGTTGTGGTTTCCGAGGCGCTCCTGAAGGCAGCACGCTGTGGGTGTGTGAAGAGAGAGAGGAGAGGAATGTGGTGGAAAAGCAGGGATGTCCTGCATTCTTTGCAGTTTTGTCACTTTACCTGTGATTTTTATCTCTGTCTTTGCCTCCATAAGGGTTCTAATAGGCCTACATTATTGTATATGTGTTCATTTAAAGTTTTACATGTAACAATCCAATTAGGGCTTAAAATGTATTAAAGGGAACCCCATTATTTCATAAACATTTAGCATAAAAATAACAGGCTGTTGAATTTGTATATAATACTGTACATCCAGATTTTCATTTCATAGATCTGAAAATTTACCTATTTGTGTCACAAGTGAGGATGAGATGGAATCATAGGTTCACATGAATTAGACTAAATATTACGATAAATATATAAAAATATTAGGTTTTATTATATAGGTATAAATAGTTATTATTTATTGTATTTTTTAAGTTTTACCACTTCCAAAATTGACCTAAATGAGCCATTCATCTCCTAAATTACTAAGCTTGTACTAAATTAGAAAAAAAAAAGTTTTTTAAAAGCCTTACGGTCAACCTAATTTCTGCTGACTCAGGTTATTTCCAAAATAGAGCAGTGACTGTGGTAACCTAATCGTGTATTGCTTTCTGAAATCAAATAATAAATGATAATAAATAGATGGCGGCATGGTGACTCATTTGATGGACTGAATCCCAGTCGAGGACCAAATAAAAAAAACATTAATATAAAGTTCAGCTTACAGATTTTAATGTCCTGTTTTATTTAGACTGTTGCAGTGTAAAATGCAGTGTAAAATGCAGGGTAAAAGGGTAAAATGTAACTATAGAATATAATGTGTTGATGCGTTTACTTTGTAATCTTTGTTTTAGAGTGGAATTTCCCTTTAATGATCATTAAGGCATTTATTTCTAAAGTTTGAGCACAACTATTACAGCAAAGCTTTAAATACCCAAAGTCAACCATGGCACAGTAATATAGTTTTTCCCATGCAATATGCAGCCCAGGTGCATGATGGGAAATCTGCACTGGGGTCACGAGCCCAACCCTTCAAAACTACATAGTTTTTTCATTGTTTTTGTTACAGCTTAGGGGTAGGTTTAGGACCAAGGTGTGAATTGAGTTTAGGTTAGTTTTAGGGTAAATGGTCAGGATAGAAAATTACCAAAAAATGAATGGAAGTCAATGAATGGTCCTAATAAGGATATAAATACAAACTTGGGTGTGCACATGTTCAGTGCTGTAAGACAGAAAGAAAACCTCCCTTTAAACACAGACCAGATGTGGAGCTGGAAGAAGGAGAGGATATGAAAAATGCAACTTGTCCTATAGTTTACACAGATCCATGTGTGTGTGTGTGTGTGTGTGTGTGTGTGTGTGTGTGTGTG